AAGCAAAAAAAAAGCAACCTTTTTCATTATTTCAATATTGTGAAAAAACTACGCATTCTGGATAAAAATTTTCAACAGACGACTTTCTTAAAAATTCTTAAGATTCTCTTTAAAATAAGATTTTCTAAATTAATAAAATGTTTATAAACAAAAAAGTTATTGCAAATTAAATCCGAAAGTAAGCATGCATTTCAATTGTTTATAATTATTAAAATAAACAACAAAAACATTTAAATCACATTTCATAATGTGAGGTTTTTATGTATTTACGAAATTATATTTGTTTATCCCGTTTGAGAGAACAAAGGTCATTTTCAAATGGCTGTAAAGGTGCTTTGTCAATACTTAGAATGTTTTTTGGTCTGATTCTCTTTAGAAGGTCTCAAATTTTCATGTTTTCATTTTTAAAAATTATAATAATTTTTAATTATTTACTTACAAACAATTAATGCAAAATGTAGTCCCATTACTATTAAATTGGCAATATCCCTAACTTATGGCGCGTTGTATATTATTCCATTTAGGAAGAGACCACAAAAGAAAACCCCCTCATGTCAGTTGGGAGTTTTGGGATGCAAGTAACAACCTAATCATGTAATATGTCGGAATGACTCACCTCTATTGTAAAAAAGAACATGAACTCAAGTTGGTAGAAAAAATATTCAAGCATTCGTTTTGAATATTTTTTGCTAACTGTAAATTTTATAAAAGGTCTCTAACGGATCCTCATTTTGGGATAATTTCTTATTTACAGTACCTGGCCAAATTATTAGGACAAGCATTAAAAGTTTGCATTTTTTAAAATTAATAATTTTTATCAACAGGGATGTTTATTATTTTTTCACATAGCAACACTTAATATAGTAATGGTAACATTATAATGCGAAACAATAATGCGAAGTGAAATAGAATTGCAGTTAGAACCACAAAGATGCATAAAGCAACAGGTCCAGATGAAATTAATATAGAAGCAATAAAACTATTAGACGAGGAGAACATCGAAATCTTGGTAAGGCTATTCAATAGAATTTATGATACTGGTTACATTCCGCGAGAATGGCTGCAGTCATCCTTTGTGATGATCCCAAAAACAGCTAATGCCACAAAATGCAATGAACACCGCTTAATCAGTTTAATGAGTCACTTGTTGAAACTCTTCCTAGGATATTACACTCAAGAATGTACAAGATACTAGAAGAACTTAGCGGGTCAACACAATTCGGTTTTAAGGGAGGACTAGGAACAAGAGAGGCAATTTTATGTTTGAACACCTTATACAAAAACTGCTTAGATCAACGAAAAGATGTCTACCTCACCTTCATCGACTACGAGAAGGCATTTGACAATGTTAAACATGATATCATGATGGAACTACTACATAGGGCTAACATTGACAGAAGGAGATCAGAATTATTCAGAATCTATACTGGAACCAAATGGCAAAGGTGAGGATTGATCAAGACCAATATACGGATGAATTTGAAATCCGGAAAGGTGTCCGCCAAGGCTGCATACTCTCTCCGATGCTTTTTAATTTATATGTTGAAAATAAATTTGCGGAAGCATTAGAAGATACGGAATTAGGTATTAAGGTGAACGGCATACCAATTAGCAACCTACGCTATGCGGACGAACAGTGATTATAACTGATCATTTGGAAGATCAGCAGTTATTACTTGATAGTAATATAAATAAAATAAAAATAAAAATATGGCCCCAAAATTAACATTTTGAAAACGAAATATATGGTCATTAGCAGAAACCCTCCAGAAAACCCGATAATATGCATAGGTGACAATCGTATAAATCGCGTGAAAACTTTTAAATACCTTGGCACCACAATCAATGACCAATCGGATCCACAACACGAGATAAAAACCGAATACAAATGGCAAGACAAGCTTTTGTGAAATTCAGACCGCTCCTATGTAATCAACACCTAAACTTCGAAATACGCTACAGAATGGTCAAGTGCTACATATGGTCCATCTTGCTTTAGCATGGAAACGTGGACTTTGAAAAAAACATCACAAACTTGAAGCAATTGAAATGTGGTCATTGAGAAGAATGATGCGCATACCTTGGGTGGATAGAGTTCGAAACGATGACGTCCTTAATAGAGCCGGCGTGGAAAGAGAACTCTTTGAATTAATTAAAAAACGCAAGATTGGTTACCTTGGGCACATATTGAGAGAAGAGCAAAATATGAAATACCACAGTTAATTCCTACAAGGGAAGATCGAAGGTAGGAGAGGAGCCGGCCGCAAACAATTATCCTGGTTAAGGAATATTAATGAATGGACAGGAATACACAATACAGGTGAGCTGTGTCACGCCGCCAAGAACAGAATTCTAGTAATGAGATAGTCGCCTACGCACTTTGGTGTATGGCATGTTAAGAAGAAGGTAACATTATTGTACTATTTTAACGTTGGCAACAGAGCCATATCCGCCATTTCTAGATAGCATTGCGTCCTGTCAACTAGTGTGCATTTTATAACCTCAAATACTGTCTGTGAACATTTGAATTCTAAACAGTTTTGACCTAAAATTTTATTGCAGAGGTGAGTGCTTTATCCTTTTTTTATTATTTTTTAGATTATAAACATATGCAGTGAAATTATTGGTATAATTAAGGGTATTATACATTTATAAATGGGGAAAAAAAAAAACCCCTGATCTGTCCCCAAAACGAGTAGGCCAGGTAATTGGACTCATAAAAGCTGTAGAAAAGTCTCAAAATGAAATAACAGCAATGGTAGGAGTATCAAGAAGTTACAAAACAGAAAATTGCGTTTGGAATCAGTTTGTATCCAAAGCGTAAGAGTCTCAGCGGAAGACATCGTTTGACTACTCCTAGAACTGATCGTAAAATAAGAGATATTTGTCTAGTAAACAGAGAGAAACAGAAAGGCTTACTCCGGCTATGATAAAGAAACGGTTCGAATGGGCACAAAAATACAAAAACTGGACAGTGGAAAAAGGTATATGTGTTGTTTTGCTTGAATATCAATAATAAAACTAAAAAACATGAGCATTTCTAAAAAATTGTTGATTTCAGGTCTGCTTCTTGGACGAATCCGTTTTTCAAGTTTTAACAGAAAAAACGTTGGTTCAGAGACGTCACAACGAGAAATACAAGCCCGACTGCATTGTGCCCACCATCAAACACCCGCCGTCACCCATGGTCTGGTCTGTGGTATCCAGTAAATGCACAGACCGTTTCTACACGGTGAAAAACACGATGAGACAAGACCAGTACCGGAAAGTACTCGAGGCGAGACTTTTGCCACAGCTTCAGGAATGGTTTCCTGGAGAAGAGGAACCCATATTTATGCACGATGCTGCTTCTTGCCACAAGGCTGAGTATTTCAACTTATTTAAAACAAAAAAAAAAATTAAAGTTCTTCTCCTTACCTCCAGAAAGCTCTTTTAGCAGCCAAAGGCTGACATACAAAATATTAAATTTATCCCTACTATGTAAAAATTATACTTTTTTAATAAATAAAAGTATTTTATTAACTTTTTTAGTAGTTTAATTTCTTCTTCTGCTAGTGCCTATCCTCTATGGATGTTGGCTACCACAATGGTGGCCATCGTATTTTATTAGCAGCTGTTCGAAATAGGTCTGTGGTGGTCATACCTGTCCACTGTCTCAAATTTTTAAGCCAGGATATTCGGCGGCGTACTGGTCCTCCTATTTCCTTCTATTTTCCCTTCTAATATCAATAGTAGGATTCTGTATTTATTTTCATTTCTCACTATATGTCCGAAGTATGCTAACTTTCCCTCTTTAATGGATTTCAAGACTTCAGGTTCTTTTTGTAAACGTTGCATTACTGCGTCGTTAGTTATATGATGTACATATGATACTCTGAGCATGCGACGATAGCACCACATCTTGAAACACTGCAACCGTCTGCAAGGCGCATCAGTGAGTGTTCGCTCCTGCTCCATACATAAGAAAGAAAAACAACAATTAAGGATTTTGAGTCGGAGATGTAAGTTCAAGGTTAAATTGCAGAGAAATTTCTTCATCTGTTGGAAGGCACTCCTTGCTTTTTCGATCCTACATTTAATCTCGTATGAGTGATCCCAGCTGTCTGTGATGTTGCATCGTAGGTATGTTATTTTTTCTGTTCTATCCAGTACCTCATTGTCTGCCATAAACTTTGCATCTGTATCTTGGTTTTTGTTTTATGATCATAATTTTCGTCTTCTTATTATTAAGTTCCATTCCATATTTTCTACCGATGTTAACTACTCGATCTATCAGTCTTTGTAATCCTTCAGCACTATTCGTAACAAGGACAGTGTCGTCTGCATATCTTAGATTATTTATTACTTCACCGTTAACAATCACGCCATCAGTCGTTTCTCGCAAAGCTTCTCGAAATAGATGTTCAGAGTACGCAAAACCGGTAACTTTGTTTATTTTGACACAGCAGAACAGTAAAATATTATACATAAAGATGTTTGTTAAAGATATCTTTGCTAACTCGGTCTACTAGTAAGCGTAAAAATTATAGCGTATTTGATAAAATTACTGTCTACACAATTTGGCAACTCAGACAATGGATATAATGATAGAAAACTGTAATTTATATTAGGGTTTGAAAATATTACAGAGTCATCATGTAGAAATCTACAATTAAGTTAAAAAATTTACCAGATTAGCAGGCCGCAGTAGAGCCATCTCTAGGATCAGAAACAAATTAATTGTGGGTGAAGATCAACCTTAAACAGCAAAGGCGAGAGTATGCAACCTTGTCGTAGTCCTCTTTGTATTGGGAGTTCATCGGATAATTGATTGGCTACTTGTTTTCTATAGAGACAGTTTAATTACCTAAGAGTTAATATTCAGAAAAAACAACAAAACAGTAATTTTTTCAAATATATTCAAAATCATAAGAGAAATAACTTATATGTAGTAAATTTTTCCTTGCTTGGCCTAATAATTTGGCCAGGTTCTGTACACCAATTATATAAAAAGCAAAAATAATAATTATATGATTTATTCTATTTAAAATTTTACAATTCTAAAGTACATACAATATTTAAATTTTTTAAATATATTATTTACTAGATATACATAGTAACTACAGTTCAACAGCTAATAATACAATAGATATATTTTTAAATAAAGTTCAACAACAATTATTTGGACATTATTTAGTGCTGATCACTTAAAATTGTTTAAATATTTATTTAGTGTTTCACCCAAAAAGGAGAAGGATATTTTAATACTTACATAACAGATACTGAATATGTTGTAAATATTATAAAAATATTTTAAAAAATATGAACAAAGCACTTTCTTTGTTTCTCATTAGCTTCTTACTACCCATTTCTTGATGTTAATAATTTGCAAGCAACAACTAGAAGACTGCTCAATTTCAGTGATCGAATGAATAATTATCTGAGGCAATGCCTCGAAGAAGTACTTAAAACAGGTCGATACAATTATAAAACAGATGCAATTTTAATAGATATATGGTATATAGGTACATAGGTTAAGTTGGATTAAAATAAAAATTGCAAAAGAAATTTCGAATCTAAATAACGATGATAAAATAAAGACAGAAGAATGTACTACTTCTATAAACCAAGGAATTATGAAAATTAAGAAAAGTGATAAACCAGTCAACAAATAATTATCAAAAATTGTACAGAAAACCTAGAATTTGTAGTCAATTAGATTGAATTCGGTATTTTATTGTCACATGACGTTTGTGATGACGTATATAGGTCTAAAATTAGAATAAACTCTGAATATAAGTATACATAACTGTAATTGTTTCTTACATTACTATTGTTTAGGCTGAAATAACGTAGGCATCATATTTGATAAAAGTAACACTCATTTATATTAATTTAATGATGACTCTGTAGGGATTCCCTTTCTGGCAATTGCCTGACTTTCATGCTACCATCAGCTCCGCACGAAAATAATCGAGAATGATTATCGATGTGTAACTGGGTGACTCCTTGACCAATGTTCTTGAAGAAACTACTACGAGCATGTTCTGCTGGTAGAGATAGAAGGACATTTGGAACTGTCACACCCCAGATCTACAAAACAAAATAAAAATTAACTGCGATGAGATTAACTCTTAATATTTTTAATACATATAAAATTTCCGATAGTTATTATTAGAGACAATTTGAAAGTGACGTCGTACTTTTTATATTCTCCACTGATAAAAACTAGTTCAAAACTTCAGTTGTACTACAGCTCTCGAGTAGTTGAGCCTCGAAGTAAATTGGTTTGTTTTTTCAGTCGATCATGTTCATTACAACCATGATACTATGAACTTCTAAAGATAAACCCACGCGCACGAGATCAGTCTATCTCTTTTGTACGTGTGACGTCACTTGGCGACAAATATCACCAGAAATGTTCTGTTTTGTATGGAGTTTTGTCCGATTTAGTATTGTTTTATCGTTTATCTAGTACGTTGACAAATAAATGTGTGCACTTTTACATAAAATATGTTTAAAAATATTCAATTAAACTTTTAATTATGGTATTCTGTGCAGTGGTGGGTTGTTCCAGCAACAACAATAAAAAAGCAAAATTATTTCGGATTATCGTTTCTTTAGATTCCAAAGACAAACACGTTCGCGAACAATGGTTGTGAAGTGCTATCAGCAACATAAGTTTAATGTAAACACTGCAAGAATATGTTCCGAACCATTTTGTGGAAAGCGATTTCTGTATGAAAGAAAAAAATGTTGGGTTTGCCTCAGAATAAGTGGAAATTCAAACGTGATACAATACCTTCCCGTTATTTAATGAAATTACCAAGAGCGCAAACTTCTCCTGAACAAAAACGATGTTTACGAGTAGAAAAAAAAAGGAAAGAAAAAAATAAAATTGAAAACATATTTACAGAAGGGCAACTTCGTCAATTAAAGTTGGCCAAGCAAGTAAAGTGGAAAGTTGGAGATTGCCTCGGCTATTTCACTGCATGCAGGAGGTCCAAGGTCCTATCCTTTATTGAGAAAAAGAGGCTACCCTCTTCCTGCAGTTTCCACTTTAAGAAGATGGGAGAGCACAATACATATTCAACCAGGTATTTTATAATTCTAGGATTCTTCATAAATACTTATCAGTAGTTAATTTTATATTATTAATAAGTATTATTTTAATTTTCAGGAATACTTAACACAGTGCTGACACTAATAAAAAACAATTCTCTCTCAGCGATGGAAAGAGTATGTGTATTACTTTTTGATGAAATGAAAATTTCACCTTAGGACCTAACCAATATGTGCAAGTGATCATGGCTCGTGGAATATGCGGAAAATGGAAACAGCCGATATTCTACGATTATGATTAAAAAATTACACACAGTCTGTTATTTGAAATTATTTCAGAACTAGAAAATATAGGCTATCCTGTTTATGCTTTTAACTCTGATTTAGGAAGCAGCAATAGGAGACTGTGGAAGTCTTTAAATATAACGGAAGAAATAACATGGTTTCCAAATCCAATAAGTAAAAAAAAAGAGTGCATGTGTTTGCAGATGCTCCACATGTGCTTAAACTTTTGAGGAACCATTCTCTTTACCATGGATTTGAAAAGTTTATAACATCCAATTATAACATAAAATTAATGCTGATTTCTTAATAGTTAAAGGCGCTCAACGACAAAAAGTTAAATTAGCTACCAAATTGTTTTCGCACACAGTATCGAAAGCAATTTCTAGGTTAGGATTATTGGGAACTTTTAAGAGTGAAAACAACTGACTTAAATGTTCGGAGTTATTTAAACTCACCAATGACTGGTTTAATGTATTTAATTCAAAAGTACCTCAAAGTGATTCACGAAATCGTTGAAAAACGTATGGTTTAACTTTAATTCAACAAAATAAAATTTTGGACGAAATGGAGAGAAAACCATGCGAAAGCCTAGAAAAGTTGGATCTAATACCTTGCTACCTTTTCAACGAGGTATAATAATTAGTATAAAGTCTTTAAAGGAACTATTTATCGATATGAAAGACGATTTTGACATAAAATATTTATAACATATCATTTGAATCAGGATCCTTTAAAAGGTCTTTTCTCCATCATACGAGCCATTGGAGGGTTAACTGATCATCCTACTGATCTACAGTTCAAATACAAAAATTATCTTATTGGGCGAAATGATAAGATTATTTCCAGTTTGGCCAACACTGCTAGTATTGGCCACATTCCAAATATTGCTATTGCGAGTGTATCTGTCAAACTAGATATGTCAAACTAGATATGTCAAACCTTGATGTATATGAAAACGATGTCAATGAGTTTGAAATTGATACTGCACAAATGTTTGAGGTCTTGAATTTATCTAATGATAATGAACATACTGATCTGAGAAATGCGGCTGATATTGGAATGGTTTAGAAAACTTGGCAGGGTTTATTGCTTTTAAATTAAAGAAAACCGAAACTCTAGGTTATACTCCAGACAGCAATGAAATGTCATGTGTCGAAATGTCGTGGGTAAATCATCTTTCCGAAGGAGGTTTACTTAAACCATATCCAGATTTTATAATTAAATGTAATGAACTGGACCATATTTTTAACAATTTTAACAAAAGGTCATTAAAATTACCAAGAATTATTTAAAATCGCTAATGGTTTAGGTGTGTTAGTAAACGTAAGTTCAGATGTCAAACATCTTTTTTTTAGGTGTAAATTATATTTTAAAATTAGAAAATTGAATAGATATATTAAAGAAAAATCCAAAGTTAGGAAGAAAATATTAAAAATTGTAAAATAAATTGTTAAATAAACTTATAAATTATTACAGTGTACATTATTTTATCAGTTGTATTTAATTTTTATTTTAATAAATCAATCCATTGTATATAAATTTCCATTTCCAAAAGGATGTTTAGTTCCTACATTTTTATATAATTTTATTATCTATTTAAATTCTATTAATTTACATTGCTATTATTATTATTATTATTATTATTATTATTATTACATGGGCTGCTTTTGGTTGAGCTTCATTTTAAAAGACAGAAAAATCCCAATACACTTAAAACGAAAAACCTATGACACTTGTTTTCACCAGTTGCAACTTATGGATTGGAAACTATGGCAATAACAAGAAAAAATGGCAGAACAATTAAGAGCAACTCAACGGGTCATGGAGAGGGCCATGTTAAATATAAGCCCCAGAGACAAAATTCCTAACATCGAAATACGTCAAAGAACTAAAGTAACCGACATCATGGGAAAAATAGCGACATTGAGATGGAAATGGGTGCACATGTAGCAAGACAAGACACCAACAGATGGTCTCATAAAGTGACATTCTGGAGACGTCGAGAAACAAAAAGAAGCATGGGAAGACGAAAAAGGGGTGGATAGACAATATAACAGCTGTAGTTATAAAGCAGTGGATGAGAATTGCAAAAGAAGGGAAGCGTGGAAGCAATTGGAGGAGACCTATTTCCAACAATGGATAAATGAAGGCTAAAGAAGAAGAAGACATTGCTAGGCTAACAGAGATATAAGTATATATAACACATTTTTAAGTTTTAATTGCAGATATTTTACCTAACATCCGTACATATTCCAAATATTTAAATAAAAACCGTCTCTTTCCATATATGTTTTACCGACAAGTTAAATTTTATCACCAAGTGACGTCATGAGCATCGACGTACAAAATTCGATTGCGAAATGGGTTTATCTTGGAAGTCATAGTATCATGCATTACAACTGTTGACAATTTGCCGCGTATAACTGACCTTTTTTTGTACAACATCCTTTGATCTCAACATTTCCAATATGCAGCGATAATATCGTTCGTCTGAGGGATAGTTCTAAATACCGATTTATGCGGTTAATCATTCAAAAATAGAAGAAAAATTCTGGACCGGTCAAAAATAAATGTCCTTTCTGAGTAACATCAAAAATTGAACAGGCCGAACAGTCAAATAATTGTTTCATGTAGCTACCGACAAGAATTCCAACAGCTTGTTAACATTATGATAGTCACTGCTTGAAAACAGCATGGCACACAAATAAGGAGATAATCGGTTTATAAAAGACGGCTTCTGAGAAATAATAATAACAGTGAATTGATTAGAGATTTAAAGCCAATAATGAAAAAAAAAAAGGTTCATATAAAAATGACTTCATACAATTTATATCTTTAACACACCGTTAGATTACGCAATAATATCGGATTGTTAAGTCTTGGCATTTTGCGTCAAAATCAGGGATGACAGCTAAGAAGAAATCAGGAAGCCAAATATAGCCTATACAGATATAAAGTGATAAATATAACATAAAGAAAAAAAAAATCAGAAAAGCGAAAGAAAAAGAAGCAATGCGAAGAAATTGAGACTAAAGTTAAAATACGATAGTCACAATTAACATAAGAAAGTTAAAGAATTCACAGGTGAACTAAGACGTAAACAGAAAGAAAATCTGACTGATTATGAGGAAACATCTCTAGAAAACAGAGTAATATAAAAACATGAAAACAATACCTAAAAAATTATTTGAAGACCTAGAAGACCAAATGGTAGACCTAGAAGAGGGGTAAATGATGGTCCAATAATATTGCAGCGGGAAGTTTATTAACACAGCTAAACGGTGGTAAAGCAACAGGTGCCGATACTATACAAGCAGAAATATTCAAACGAATGTACAACGAATCTATAGAAATAATAATAAAGCTACTTAACAACATATACAACTCTAGAGAAATACCAACAGAATGGCTAAAGTCTGAGTTAATTGCACTTCCAAAAGGAGGTACATCTTAAAACTGTTCCTACAGATAATCCATAAGAGAATTTACAAGCTGTGTCTTCTTCTTCTTTTTATGTAGATTCTGTTTTTCGATGTCCCTCCAGCATGTGACATTTCTTCGTTTGATGTCACCTCTCTCGTGTTCATTATGCGAGAAACATCAAGCTGTTTGAGTCAAATGTCCCCAACCAGTTTTGGTCCATAAATGCTGTTGGTATAAGAGATGCTTTGTTTTCAGTACAAGTCTTAACCCAGTGATGGAGAGACATCAATTAAGAAAGTATATCGCATATCTGGTTGATAACCAGAAAGCCTTTGATCGAGTACAGCACGCCAAGATGGTGTAATTTTTTTTTATTAACATTTAAGATTTTTATAATCTGTTTTGCAGTGAAAACAATAACTACATTTTTTGTCTTTACATGACAGAGATATGTAAGGTCCAGTGACCAAATCATGGGTGCTGTTGAAGGCGTAACTCCCACTACTGTAGACTCTTTCAGGATCGGTGAGGTAGGTCCAAGGGGTCATGTCGCTTCAATCTCTTCGCTTGTTGGTTGTTGAGAAGATTGTGTGCCAGGGTATTAGGATGCACCCGCAACCTGTTTTGATATTGTTCAGAAGATTTTTTGCACTCTTCAGAGACTGCTAGTACCTGAAGATCTCTATGTATTGCATCATTCTGGATATACCAAGGTGCATTAGCGATTGTTCTCAGAGTTTTGGATTGAAATCTTTGTATTATCATAATATTAGATTTGCTAGCTGAACTCCAGAGCTGCGAGCCATATGTCCAAATGGGTTTTATTATTGTATTGTATATCAGCAGCTTGTTGTCGATCGATAGGTGAGAGTTTTTTCCCAACATCCAGTAAAGTTTTCTGTATAAAATTCCCAACAGTATTGCTTGTTCTCGAGACTACTTCTTATTGTTGTGTATAGTCTGTGAACTTGTTCGATTGTACCATGTTGGTTACAAAAACCGAATTGATGGTCAGGTATGAGACACTTTTCGTCCAATATTGGTTTAATTTTTTGTAGCAGAAGTTTTTCAAAGACCTTAGAGATGACTGGGAGTAGACTAATCGGTCGGTATGAGTTGACATCTTTTGGATCTTTACCAGGTTTTTGAATGAGTATAATCTGTGCCACTTTCCATTGCAGAGGGAAGTAATGCAGACTAAGCATAGCATTGAAGATCATAGTGATTATTCTGTAACAGTCATTGGTTAGTTCTTGGAGGATCTTACCCGTTATGAGCGAATCCCGCAGCCTTATTGGGTTGTATCTCATTCTTTATTATCTGTTTTACTTCTTTAATATTAAACTTGGTGATTGGTAGTTCCATTTGATATGGAGCCTCAAGAAAAGAATTAAATGGTTCTTCTTGTTCTAATGGCACTACTCTGTTAAATGGACTAAATACTGTAGAAAGATGTTCAGCGAATATCTCAGATGGTGTAAATACTAAAAGAAGGAGAAACTAATAACAAAATGTCTGAAAATAATTAGAAACCTGTACTGGAATCAGACTGTCAATGTGAAAATCATGCGTGGATTGAGGCAATGTTGTATTTTGTTTCATCTAATCTTTAATATCTATTCTGAAAGATTTAGCGAAGCTTGGAACGAAATATAAACACGAACCGTTAAACATCAGATATGCAGATGACACCATAGTATTTACAGACAACCTAGAGCACCTACCTTAAGTCCTTATGAATAAAATCACACATTACAATCACATAAACAACACGGACTTAAGGTAATCGCACGGAAAACAAAGCTCATGACAATTAGCAAAAAGCTAAGACAAAGTGAACTCTACGTCCAAACTTCAGTAGAAAGAGTGACGGACTACAACTACCATCACACCATAATAAATGAACAATTGACCAATAACCAGGAGATAAGAGCGCGCCTTGGGTAAAGCTAGATCCAGCTTCAAGCGGACGAGGGCCTTCTCCAAGAGCTACAATCTTTTTCTTGGTATAAAAGTAAGAATGTTGCGGTGCTACGTCTTCTTTGTCCTTTTTTATGGTGGAGCATCGTTGACATTGAACGACGATATTTGCAGAAGGTTGTAAACATTTGAAATGTGTTATTGTTCTGTGAGTAGAGAAGATGTTTTTAGGGTTAGATATATTAATTATAAATAAACTCGAGTTACCTGTGATACTTGCTTAGAAATATATTAAAAAGCCTTTATGAACATTTAAAATCGGTTCTGGTGCATACCTCACAAAAGTTTATTTTACCATTTTTTTTTAAATAAATTTACACAAACCTTAATATCTCCATCGGCAGATCCAGTGGCGAAATAGTCTTCGTGAGGGTCGATGGCTATACATTTTACAGCGCTTTCGTGAGCAGAGAATTTGTGCCTTATTGCCTTGGATCGGACGTCGATGAGACAGACGTCACCCTTTTTACCAGCCGATATTAGAACCTGGTGCTGCGGGGCAAATACCAAACTACCGGCACCTTGATCGTGGCAAGTGAACGGCATTACTAACGCCTTTCCGTGCGGAAGAATTGAGTCCCAAATGCAGACGTTTTTACTCTCGGAACTGTGGCCAGCTAAAATTATATTGACATTTTAAAGATGTGAAGATTATATATAGCTAATCCAGTGTTGACAATATTAAATAAAAAAAAATATTGAGTGAGTGAAATATTTTAATTGTGATATTGTTCAGCATATCCATAAGTCCAGATTATCTGCGTAGGTATTAATTCATAAATATTTATTAAAAATGGTTCCTCTGCTATCTAATTTGTCGTTTTAAACTGATCTTTCTAGGACTATTTAGATATATACCAAATTGATTTAGATAAACAAAGTATCAAATACAAAAATTTAATAAGGTTGTCCTACCTACAGTAAATTCAACTTCAAGCTACGGACGATGGAAACAAATGCACGCTGGAAACACGCGTTTGTTCAGGGCCGGACTAGTAAATTAAAGCTGCCATACAAAACCTTATATAATTTGTAGACGTCTGACAGGTACAGATTATAGTACACCAATTTTTTAAATATAAAAATGATTTACAAAGTCGAGAGTTATTAACAACAAAATAAAGTATACAAAAAATAGTTTATAAAATTACCGTATTTTATCTTAACTTTCAGAATCTGATGTACTGTTATCATCATTAAAGTTGATAATGATAGGCTCAATTTGTGCCTCAATTAAATTGTCTAACTCCCACATTTTTTTCTCCACTTCTTCTTTTACATGTTTGACGCAGTTTTTCCATGGTTATAGCAGACACAGCTTCATGAAATAAATTTTTAATGTCAGCAAATTTAAATGTTGTGTTATGCCATGCTACATAATTCTTGACTTCCGCCCATACAAGCTCGATTGGATTGAACTCGCAGTGATACGGTGGCAACCTTAAAACTATTCTATTTGTGCTTCTTACCAGTTCATCTACTATGTACTTATTATATTTGCCTTTATGTTGTTTAACGATTTCTAAAAGTTGCACCTTTAACATCGTTTCTTCAAAGGGGCATGTCTTTTAAGCAAAGCCAATTTTGAATATCTGCCTTTTTTGTAGCCACAATGGGAATTTTTTCCAATTTTCTGGAATGGTAAGGGGCATTGTCCATTACAATTATAGCATTTTTTCAGTATTTGGAACGCTAAAGTAGGATTATCTTGTAATTCACATTTGTATGTATTAACCATTATTTTTTTGATTCTTATATCTACGTGATTTTTCTTAGCTCTTTTCCTAGGAGGACTTAGCGTTAACAGTTCCTCATTTTCATTTGCCGACTCCGTATCAGACATATTAAATAAATGGATTTATTATACTTTTCTCAACTAAAATAACAAAATGGGCATTTTCAAATTTACTTTTATAGTAGAGGATCCGATATAAGGTTTACCTACACCGCTTTGGTAAATGTAATATTTTTTACTAATGATTTTGATCCTTGAAAATCGTCATCTATCGTTCTTCGTCTGTCAATTCTTTTTTCGTCTGTCAATTCTTGTTCGCCTGTCAATTCTTCCTTGTCTTCCAGTTTTAAATTATTTATAACTCGAACACGATCAACTTACGAAAAATTACAAAATAAATTTTTGTTTAGAATGATCAAAAAATCTAAAACAATATCTGCCCGGGTTGATTCTTTTTTTAAATATATATAAAAAAGGTATTTTTTAACTCTTTTCGGCACATCGGATTGAAATTTGAACCACCAAATTTTTGCTACATGTTGTACAGTAGTCCACAAAATGAATCACCTAGTAATCTATTTTTATCAAGTTACACCTACGCAAGTGGTTTGTATTACTTATTCCCTCTGTCCCTATTAAGTGTTATCTTTAATTGGTAAAATTCCCACGGTATAGTTATTGGCTAAACGCGAATGGTTATCAGTTGTTTCTTGAAAAATGAGGTCATGTTACTTTTTACGTGTGCAATTGAATCTTTCTATGCCCCAAGGGTCCATTGTAGAAAATTTATAAAATCTCGTGCCGCAAAGAGTTTAAATTAATTATAGTCGGGACAAAATTATATCGGGCACCTCTTGTTTTTCATAATTTTTAACATACTAAATAATTTTTATCCATTAAACATATCAGTGCAGGTCGATATTATATCTTATCTTATGGCTATTATAAATGCTTTATTATACTTACAGGAATTATTTTAAAGTGGGGAAAAAGTTTGTATCGACTATAATTAAATGTTCTTAAAAATGCTTTGCACTATCACACACGAGCTAACGATTAACAAATAAATAAACCAACAAACAGCTTTGCACAAAAATTACTGGGCCATTTCGCATTCGACAGAGGACGGAGCGGAAAAAACGAAGTCCGCACCTGTTAGGGCTAACTGCCTGACATACGATCGTTCGACAATTTGGCCAATAGCAAGGCGTTCGTCACGTGTAGACTCGAATATCACGCGGTGACTTGTGGTGATTCTGTCCGTAACTTGAAGTTGAATTTACTGTAGTTTACGATTTTTTTTTAATTTCTCTATTTCTATAAACTATTTTCGGTTGTAACATAGTTTAGTAATGGATTGCGTAAAACAATCAAAACAACGTCTTTATCCTTGAAAGTTTATTGAAATTAATAAATATGAACAATTTTTCTATGATATACTAAATATTGAAAAGGGACGGGACAATTTTAATTTGATGTTCTTTTTGTCGAAACAAAAGTAATTTTAATAACTTCAGTAGCGAGTATTCTCTCCTCTGGAAATGATATTAGATTGAAAACGACGAGGCATTCTTTGGATCAAATTTTGGCTTACATTCTGCAAAAGATTTTTCCATTCCTGCACTAATATGTGGCGAAGTTCTATTGAATTTCTGGGTCAACACATGATTCCGTAAATGTCTTTTCATCTCGTCCCAAACATTCTAATGCGATTAATTTTCTATTAATACCTAAACTGCGAGCAGGCCAAACAAATCGTGTGATTTAAACCTCGTCAAGATACTCAGTAATTATCAGAGCAGTGTGGAGCCGTGCATTATTATACATACATGTTGCGTCGCCTCCAAGAATAATCATAAACGGTAAGTCATGGTCTTCTAGAAACTTTGTCAGGTACCTATGCACAGTCAATGTCAAATTCTCGATAAAGGCAAATTCTGTGCGAGGGTAAAAAAATATGCCTTGTCCCTTGTTGTATAAAGTTGCTCGACAATACATGCTTGAGCATATCTCTTGCTTGGATGCCGCCACCGTCTTACACGTTTGTTTGAGCCCGTAAGACAGAATATCGATTCATCGGAAAATAATACACGACGTCAATTCTGTATTGTCCAAGCCAAGTGTTCTCGTACAAAATTCAATCTGGCAATTCGGTGTTCACCAGACAGTGGCGGTCTGGTACTCTAGTTCTAGAAGATAAACCAGCAGCATGAAATACCCTCCTATAATTATTCATTCTAACTTTCATTTTAATTATTCATTCACTTACATTTACAGTTCTCATTTCTTGCAGATAATTTCGAATGTGACCGTCGAAACGACAAAGCGGTCATCTCTAGCCGTTGTAATTCTGCCTCGATCTGAACTTTTAGAGTAAGAAGACCAAACTTTTACTAATTGCAATACACTGACAGTGATCACTACACAAACAATTAAAAATTTACGTTAAAACTACAGAAACAAAAACTATGATGATAATAGTTTTTAGGAATCAGAGAATCAATATTTATCTCAAACGCTTATCGAAATAGCAATAACTATTTTTTCAAACAATTCATTAGTAAATTATGTAACAAACGAAAATAGTTAAAAAAGAATAATAATTCCTAAAATAAATTCAAATTATGGGGTGACTATAATTTTATGCTCGGTGGTGTATTTCTAGTTCATTTTTGTATCTGTTATTAATCCGTTTTCATACATAGTTCTACTTTCTACATCTGCAAGCAGTAATTTAACTGTTGGGTTTCTAATATTTCAAGGCTACATCCAGATTTTGAATCACATAAACTTCTGCCATTTTATATAAAGTTATATAAAAATATCAAAAAAAAACAAACATACTATTTTCTTTTATCCTTTAACAAAGAATAATAGTGTATACGTTACAGTGCAACTTTTATTGATATAATTTGAGGTTATTTAACCTTACTGTCTATTAAAACTTACCTGTAGCTAAAAGACTGCATGAACCAAGAAATACAAAGTCGCTGATGCCCTTATTATGGCACTGAAGTGTCTGAAAGGTAAAAGCAACAAATTAATTACGCACACGTTGCTCAAGTAGGTATATTTACAATTGCTAAAAGTTGACTTTCATACTCTATACCTTCAATTAGAACTGTCGAAAGAAGCGTTGATGAATTAATTTAAACATGATCGTACAGATGTGAAGGCGATACGAGTAAAAGACACGATCCTAATGAGGAACGTCCAAAAAGAGTATCACACCAAAAAGTGTAGGTGGTTTTCTACCTGATAGTTTAATTCAGCATTTGCCTTTCCATAGATCATTGTGTTTTCATTATCTTGTCTATGATGATATATTTTTTAGATGAGGTCAAACCACAATTAATTGTAATGATTTATATGTAACGTAAATGTATATGTAATGTAAATATAATGAGAATTACATTTTCTTATTTTCTTTTTGACGTTTCAATTTCTAATCGTGAAATTGTTTCCAAACAAATTTTGAAAAAGTGTAAAAATGATTTGTAACTTATAAACGTTGTTTATAAGTTCAAAAGTGTAAACATGGTTGATACCTATAAAAGATTCCACTAAAAAATACAACATACGTTTGATGTGATTGGTAGTCATCTTCATTTGATTTTGATAGAGAATTTTTTGAGGTTATCTATTTGTTTGTTTGGCGCATAGACATATAATACAAAATAAACTGACTGCTGCAATACAATCGCGTTCCTCCAGTCCGACAGAGAAAACTAGAAGAAATTATGATTTCATGTACTCCATCTAGTTCAACAAGCTCTGAAAGTCCCTAAAACGGAATATCTTCCGTTTACTACAAAAACCCAATGGTCATTTTAATAAACATGAAACCCGCCAAATTTTAAATTAAGTCACCCACCGACCAATCAGAGCAACCGTATGATTAATTTTTTAGTGTTGTCAGCCTATAAGACCGGGGCCAAGTAAGTCAACTGTCAAATTTATTCTTTCCTACCGCCAGTTATAAACATTAAAGATAATTTTTAGAATTTTTTATTTGAGAATTTTTCCAAGAATCACTATAAAACGTACCACAAGCAAATAGTTTCAGAGCCATCTTGTCTATGTTGTCCATGTTTGAGAGATGTTTGTGAGAACCGGTAGTACATACTGATTGAATTTGCTTTCCTTGGTTTGATGTTCTTTGCTCAGTTCTGTGATTTGCCTTAAGTGCATGTAATTGTGCCATATAGTGTTCAACTCTTCAATTTGCAATTTTTCTTTTTTACTTTATATAATTACAATGTCGTCTGTGATAATATTCCATTTGTTTTATAATTAAACATGTTCATCGACAAGGTTTTTTTGAGATTAAATCGCCACGTTTGTGAGACGGGTTAACGATTTTCATCGAACGTAGAGACAATAGTTGCCGCCGAAGAATATTTTTAGTCTTATGCACTAGAAAAACCTTTCAAATAACCTACTTTATACCAACTTTACGAATGTGTTCAGTTAACTGTTATCAAAGGTAATACCCATGGACGTATAAACATAGATGGGCACATCAATAAGATACCTTTAAACACACAATGTTTTGAAGCTTCCATAGAATGTGATGCTTCCGCAATGAGCATATGCGTGCTTGAATTTTTACTCGCGGGTAATTATTCAGATTTTTAAAAATTGGAAGTAGTAATAATGTATAAAAACACGTTTTAAAAAGGTACTACACAGATCTTTTTTAATCAGATGATGTCTACTTACAATTTAAAAATGTCTACTAATTTTAACTTATATCTTATTCAATACATTAATGAACATGAATAAACCCAATGGTACGACTATTAAAATGTAAACAAACACGCTTCCTCATTTCCTCATCTTAAATAATGTAAATTGTATGTACTTACAAATGAAATGAGATATCGGGATGTAAATATTTCGTTTATTTTATTTCACTTTTCACAATATCACTCAAAATACAGCCAAAATATCGAAAAACAACTTTTACTAAAAAGTAAACAAACATGGAACAGCATTTGAAGTTTGACGTAGATCCATAAGACAGAGAAATGTAAACAACCGTTGCCATTTATAAATAGTTTTCAGTGCTTCTACATATAAAATAATTGATTGATATCTATTATAGGCTATTATTAAATGATAATGCACACTATGTGCACACTTAATATTTTGATTACAATTAAATATATTAATCTAACCAATAAATTATTATTTTGGTTTGATAGCACCTGTAGAGTATAGAATACGGAGTAATATTTTCAGCGACTCGCGAATAAGAAATTTTAAAACAAAACGTGACAACAGTTGAAGATGCTGAGAATGTGACCTATTCAAATAATTTTGACTTCACAATTTTATGTAAATAACTGAGTCCATCTGTGTTTATACGTCCATGGTAATACCCGAAAGGTTTTGTTTTATCGGGTTTTTACGAAAACTTACGCTATTCTAACTTAGAATGTTGGCGAGAAACTGGCTGATAAAAACGCGATAAGATAGCTGAGGATTATATCTAGTTCAGTTTGTTCGAGTCTAAATTTCTCAAAAGAAACCTAGTCTAATGTCGACTTTACACTACATGATTTTATCATATGATAATATCATATGAGATTTGTTATGATTCCTCGTTTCTATGATGTTTTAAAAAATCGTGCTGAATGATAAGTTATGACTTGTGATATGAGTGACAATGAGGTTTTATTGATTTTTCTTTTTGTTTGGGGTCATAGAGATATTAGACACAGTATAAGTAAAATATTATAATGGAAAATAAATCTTTGCTTGCATTTGCTTCCAGACTTTTAATAATAATACGCCGGCAATAACTGCGTACAGCTAATACTAAGAAGAAAAGATCAGACGCCTTTGGACTCGCAGGTGGGCGAGAAGAAATACGAAGAAATAGTGGACGAGGTATATCAAATTTAGTGTTGATATTATACCAAATAAAAAATAATTAATAAAGAAACTAAACTAAAATTATGACTAAGAAGACTATAAAACACTAAACTAAAATAAAAGAAAAATACGACACAATAGCACAGATTAGACAATAGGCTCAATATCAATGCAACAAACAAAAAATAAATAAATAAAGGATGCTGTTTCTCGGTAAGTGAATGTCGCTGAATTGACATAAGAATAAGGCGCGATATTTAAATATGTTCGTGTTACCGGTATTACTACCGAAAATCATATAATTTTATCAAGCGGAATAGGTACCGTCCTATTCTCCTGTGACAAGCTATGACGAGCCGCATGACAGTGCTTATGACAAAATCATATGACGAATCACACAGTGTAAACATGGAAATTTGACTTTATGACCAAATCATATGACAAATCACATGATAAATCATGTAGTGTAAAGTCGACTTAAGTATAAAAACATAAATCATGAACAAATAATACCTTAAGTGGTATTTAAGAAGACGTTTTCAATAAGAGTGTTTCACTATTAAAAAAAATATATAATGCTTAGGTATCTCTCCCATTTCTGATTTAGTTTTGTAAAATTTTTGTTTTAAGTGTTACTGATCTTTGAAGTAACTAAGGTCTTCTCGAAGATTAAACAAGTAGTGTTTGGTAATCTAAAAAACATATACTTACGAAAAATGGTCTTGTAGCATTAACACTCAAACCCACTTGGAATAAACTTAAGTTTCCATCGGAATCTGCGACACCAAACTTATTGCCGTGCTGAGAAAATCTCACTCTGGTTACTTTCGCATACGTTCCAGGAGGTCTGGGTACAGCAACGGGTTGTTGGTGACCCCATTCCCATAAGTGTACTGAACCATCTTGACCTCCAGTCAAATCTTAAATGCATAAAGAATAAATATGTACATATAATTTCATGTTAATCCTTGTAAAAATTAAAAGAATTTCCTTTGATTAAGTGATAAATGCATTGGTCAACAATATACCAGTCAGAAATGTAGCACTCAAAAAGAAAATAATAAATATCTTAGATTTGTCTTCACTCACTCTGTTTATAGGTGCCTATTATAATGCATTGTTTATTGCATATACCGTCTATGATTCTTCTAATGTCTTCATTTCTAATTATTTTGTATTTTCATGCTAATTTGATAAAGTCTATTTCTGTTTTCTGTTGTCGCTGTCAGCGAGATAATTGCCTATATTTGAGTGAGACCCGTATTTAAGAGAACAATAAATTCACAACTTTATTAAATTTCCAATTTTTTTTGTCAAATTCTATGATCTTTCGATCAGAATTTATTACAAAGGTGTTTATACTTTTCATTACAGTGAATTTGTGTGCCAAAGTATGTAAAAGTTTCGCAAGCTGTTGTGTATATATCCGTTTTTAATTTTAGGTTTATACTTTGGCTCCCTACACATATTTAGTTTCAATAAAATGATTCTATTTCATCTAATTCCTGGACAAAATGACTTAATCGGCCGAATAATGTAGAAAGTATATAGGAATTCCCATGCCATTGCATTTTCTTTAGCGTGGAAGAGTGCTTAATCGACGTCTATATACTAAAGAGAATTTGGGAGATACTACATCCTTAGAGCAGTTTTTTAGTTACTTTAAATGAGATATTCAGTGTTTTAACTATTTTTTAAGAAGTTATGGTCGTGTACATTTGTTCTTCTTCTTTGTGTGTCTTGCTTGTTTTCAAGAGTTGGCCACCGTCGCATTAACAAGCTGATACAATGTTTCTCGGTCGGTAGCTAGATGACATAATTCCTCGACCGTTCGATTTGTCCATTGTCTAATATTACGCCCAGGACAGTTGTTTTTTTGCGACCCAGGAAATTGTTTTCCTACAATTTTGCCCTGAATTATCAACTGGAGTAAGCGATATTTAGGCCCTATCATTATATGGCCGAAGTATTGGAGCTTTCTCATTTTGATGATTTTGATTTATTAACGCTATTTATACATGGTCTCTAGCACGATTTTGTTAGATATGTGTGCTGTTCACGGGATTCTGAGCATGCGACTGTAACAACACAACTCGAACACTTCTTATTTATTAAGCTTTTTTCTTTTTGTATTCCAGGTTTCATATCCATAGAACCAAGCGGACCAGACGTAGCATTTCAATACTCTTAGACGTGTGGTTTAATGATAGACTTTTACTGCCCAATACAGAACGCCGTTAATAAAGCTTTTTCATGCAAGTGCTATTCTGGTCGAAATTTCCTCGTCACTTTCAACCGTGCAGTCAATCCAACTACCCAGATATATAAAGTATTCCACCCTTTCCAGGATTTCCTTATCTAATTTTAGTACTGAGTCTTCGATATTAATTTTTCCAACCACCATCTATTTTGTTTTCTTTGCGTTGATTATTAAGCCATTTTCATGGCATTCGTTGTTTACAGCGTTCAACAGGGTTTGAAGGTCTTCTAGACTCTCTGCTATTTGACGGTATTATCTGCGTATCTCATGTTATTAATAATTTCACCACCGATTTTACATCTTCGCAAAGATTATTTAACGCTATCTCAAAAACTGGTTTAGTGTAGGCATTAAACAACATCGGTGACATAACACATCCCTGTCTGACACCACGCTTAATAGAAACTTAAGCTGAAACTTTATCCACTTTAATACAAGCGGTCTGATTGTAGTAAAGATGTTTTAGCAATCTAATATCATGCATGTTCACACCAACTGCGTCCAAACATTGAAATAGTAGTGTATGTATGTGGTAATCTATTAAAGGACTTTTCGAAATCTATCAAACATATATAAATATTTTTCCTAAACTCGATGTTCTTTTATGAGAGCATTCGAATGCAAACAAGAGCCTCCGAGTACCCATACCGTTTCGGAAACCAAACTGCTCATCACCAGTTATCCCCTCACAATGTTTACATATGCGACAAAGTAATATTTTCATAAAAAAATTTGAGCGCGTGACCCATTAAACTGATAACTCTATAGTCGCTATACTGTCTGGCATTCCCTTTCAGGAGAAAGTTATAAATATTAAAAGGAAAGACAGTTAAGATTTGATTTCATTTATAGTGCCTCTCTATATTCGCTTATACGTATTTCATCCTAAAAGGAATCTTCGGAGCGCATATTTACAGGAGCTGTGAACGTGAAAACAATCTTTCCTGGCGAAAAGGAAGCTTGGATTTCTCGGTTAGATGTTATTTCTTTGTAAACTCTTTGGTCATATTTAAATAATTCTATTATGTAATTTTCCCATTCGGTACAGCGCTCTTTAATATCACGTATAATTCTACCACCAAAGTGTTGTAAGATATTTTGCCTGTAAATTCTGCTTTTGCCTGTTAGCTCAATTTCTAGAAGCCATAAGTCTTTTGCTACTTTAATTCGTTTTCGGATTTCTTTATGAATTTCATTGTATTTTTCTCTGTTTATAAATTTGTTAGATGACTTTCACTAATGTAATATGGATGAGAATATTACTAATGATTTAAGCACAGTATTAAAAATTTAACTGACTGGAAGGTTGTCATAGTATTGACTTAATAATTAATAAATAAATAATGTTCAAAAATACTTACATAAAGGTAACAATGGATGTGCTGTGATTCTTCTGATACCATCGATTTTGTGTTTGAGAACCTAGTAAAAATAATTTAAATAAAAAATATTTACCTATTATTGATAAGTTAAAAATAAATGTATATTCCTTAAAATAATATTTCGTTGATACAAAACAGTAAGCTCTGAATTTTAAGTGTGTTTTAAGTGTGAATTTTTAATTATTAAATTATATCAAACCATAACGTTTATTAAGTTTTATAGTTAAATCTTAAATTTCAGAATGAAAACTGTTTCAAATAACAAATAAAACGACGATATCATGCATCTAACACATTAAATTTTAAAAAAATATCTAATGAGAGAAATTCAAATCAAACTAGACACAATGATGAATGGGTATTAATGAGACAATGAAGCGGGCAATATTAAAAAAATATATAATCTATATTAGAAAATCAGGTTTCTCCTTCATCGAAATATTCGATAAATGTTTTACTGTACTTCTTATTTCCGGAATGTCATTTTGTATTTTCTTGACTCTCTTCATACTGATGTTAACAAATATATAGCAGTATATAAATTTTAGCTCTTACTCTACCTGGTAAATACATCACATTTTTAGCAGTACCAAATGTGAAGGCCTAAGGTTTTGCTGACGATTCTCTACACTATTCCATTCTCAACGTTAGCAATTAGTATTTTTCCGCTATTGAGGATAGCCACTTGTTGCTTGGTCTTGCTGGGTTTATCACTTTTTTGTCACTGGGTTTTTCATATTGCATATTTTCATATTGCGTATGGCCAGTCATCAGATTCTTTGTGCTCGTACTTCTGCCGTTATCGATGACTTTCCATAGGGTTCCATGAATTCTTGTTCATCCGTCTCATGTGTTTTTTCTTCTTTGGATTTGTCTTAGTACTGTTCTTTCCCACATTTTCAGTTCAATACTTTTTGTTCTGTTCAAGGTCCAAAATTCATTGCCATAAAGCGTAACTGTTTTTATAAACTGTGGTTTATAACCTTACTTCGGTCGTCTTAGAGACATCTTTTGATTCTAGAACTCTCGATTCCCGTGCTTTGTGACTTTTGTTTTATGTGGCTTATGTGGAGTCCTAGGTATAGAGTTGGGTACGTAGCAATCTCTGCTACTTACCCAACCTCAAGTAGTTATCTCTGCTTTTAAACTTATATTTTTTGCCGTTTGAACAGTTCTCAATTTGGGATGGAGCTTCTCATTACCATTTCTTGTTTTCTTCTCATTCAATTTCAATCTCGCTTTATTTACTGCTCTTGCTAGTCTTCTTGTGTCTTTTTATCTCACAAATACTAAGTCTTTAAACATCGGCTTGTGTGTAATATTGTGTACCTTGTGTATATATATTGTTTGTGTTGTAGACATAGGATGTCGTTGTTGTAATCCACAATTTGCTCTGACAACTGCTCACATTATTGTGTATATTTGTTCGTGTTATTTGTATCAGTTTAGTGAGCTTTTTGGTATGTTGTATGGTTGGATGAATTTATCATACTATACGCTTGCTTAAACTTTTGAAACAATACATCGACTACAGGTGGTATTCATAATTACTGTTCAAGGTTTGTTGTAAATGAACATCTGGTCTATTACTAATCTTCATCTTCTAAAATCCTCATGATATTTTTCTCATAAAATCATGTTTGTTTTTTCAGAAATTTTGAAAAAATCTTTTTCGCGTGCCATATCAGAGTTATCAGACGTTGGTGATCACCATTGCGAAGGCTTCTCGATCTTCTGCCACGTGGAATAATTGTCTTGCATTTGATATCTTAGTCCATTCACCCAGTAACCAAGAAACTTGTTTTCTTCCTATACCATTACGGCCTACTATTTTGCCTTTATGGATCAGTTGTAATATCCTATATCGACTTCTGCTCACTATGTGTTCCAGATAAGACATTTTCCAATTTTTAACAGTATGTTTTTTAAATATGTTGCTTATTTCTTTTACTTTTTGTGCACATTAAAAAAGTCGTGCCTAGATATCACATCCTCAATTTCCTCGCACCTTTCTCTAATCCATTTTTCTTTGACTAATTTTATATCCCTTTTAATTCTTCTCTGTAGATATCTATATTCTGTTTCATATAAGTCGACGTTGTTCTATCAATTTTAAAATGTCTTCTGTCATCCATTAATTTTTCTTGATTAATTACTTCTATAATCATTGTTTGTGGAGATTTTAACTTGGTTTTTCAATTCATTTCATAGTTCCTTCAGATCTTCTAGTTGTTCTCCGATGTTCTTTATTCTATTGTTAAATTCTTTGTTAATGTTATTTTTCATGCTTATACCGTCAACATTAATTATATTGGTTTTTGGTTTTTGTCATTGGATTTGTTTTAACCTTAGTTTAATATCTGCACAAGAGGTTGGTGATCCGATCTAATATCTGCTTCTGGAAATGTAGTCACTTTTTTGACAGCATTTCGGAAGACACTTGGCTGCTACCATCATCAAACAGAGCTTTCCATGTGTTCAATCACGAATTAGTACATTGATTTGTAATCTCACATTAATCTTACATTTCCTGAATCTGTATAGTTACAAACTGAATTATACACACGGTGTATAATTGTGAAACATATCGATTAGTAGCTTAATTACAGTTTGTTGAGCTTCCTGCAAACTATTTCCTAATATTTATTGAGGAAAGGTCTGCAATCATTTCCTCGGTTCAAATTATATCTGCCAGGTTTCAAAAGTCAAATTTTAGTGAGATTATAAATATAACTTCAAACGCAGTCTAGTACAAATTTTTTACCTCAACAACAACTATAGTGTAATAATTCAGTGGCTGTCAATAAAACTACATTTTACTCCACGACTTCAACATTTTATTTTATCATCGTCGATCGAGAAGAAGCGGACATGAATTAGAAATAATTCGAATTTATAATTACATTCGAATTTGTCCACATGTATATAGTCGTTGCTTGGGTAGTTTATACCAGGTGTTTGCAATGAACATGTCGTTATCTTTACAAAATTCATACAATCTCTGTGCTTGATCGTTAGGTTGTCCAAAATCATAATAACCTAAAGTTTGACCTCATCTACGTTCCCCAATTTTTGCATTTAAGCCGCCTATAATATATAAAATTTCATGTTTATTAAGCTTCTGTAAGATGTCTAGGATTTAATCATAGAGATTTTCAACTTCATCGCCATATTTCCTATCTGCAGTCGGGGCATATATTTAAAGTAAGTATATCGAATTATATTAAAAAAATCTATACATCTGAAATCAATCTAAATGTCAGGCTAACATTTCTTTAATACTGGAATTAAAATTGAATCAGATCAGTTTTATGACATCTTTTCATTGACCCAAATTAACGTTACTTATTTATCACTGAATCAGTCTTTCACAATGTCATTACTAATTCCATTGTCTTCAGCACTTTTATTATTTCTAAGTTATCTGATATTTTATCCTTTTCCACTTATAGTTGAACCGATCTTGTCTTGGTTTTGTTCTGGATCTACCAGGAAAATATCCTTCGATGAATCTTATTTTTTATCTCTTATTAGTTTTTAGAAATATTGTTTCTATCGATCTAAAACCATCTGCTGGTTGTCTTAATAAACATTCATAATATCCTTGTTATTACAATTTTCTTCTATTTTTTAGAGATTCTGTTTTTTATTGCGAAGACACAAGATCTTGACAACTGGGTATGTTAGCAAGAATTTAAGATATGATAAGTACGTTTAAGAGTAAACTCTTAAAATTGATAATAGAAATAAATATCGAAAGAAAAAGAGTCAGCATAAGTTTTTTGAAAAGTGGTAGTTAAAGTTCAAATTTCAATGACAATAGCCCAACGTTCACTTTAAATTTCAACAATCAAACACTTGAAATTGCTTGGTTTCTTCGGTTAAGTTTCTTCGTTGCTTTTTATTTATGCTTTGGTAGCCTTCTTCAACACTACTTTCTGCTAACAGCTTGTTTCCCAGTTCTGAACCGTACTAATCTGTATATTTCTGACCCCTTATATTTCCTCTATCGTATACTTTTTTATGTGATAGTTTACCTCTAATTTTTCGTGGATTATTTCCCAGTTCTGAACCGTACTGATCTGTATATTTCTGACCCCTTATATTTCCTCTATCGTATACTTTTTCATGTAATAGTTTACCTCTAATTTTTCGTGGCATATAAAATTCTAATTTTGCAATTCCAAGGTAGTGATAGTGAAAAAAAAAATAAAACTGCAGAGAGGAGTTAGACAAGGAGATTCTATCTCACCCAAGCTATTTACTTTAGCTCTAGAGATATGTTTCAAACTTTAGAATGGGGAAATAAAGGAGTGACGATAGACGGCGAAAACCTCAATCACTTGAGATTTGCCGATGATGTTGTGTTAATACCAAAGGACTAAGAATAATTGCAGGAAATGTTATAAGACCTAAATACAAAATCAAAAAAAAACAGGACTAAAAATAAATCTAGCAAAAACTAAATATCTAACAAACGAATCTATAGATATAACTGAGTATATAACTCTAGACAATAATAATATAGAAAAGGTTGTGTCATAATAGGACAAAAGTCGAATAGGACAAAAAATTGAATTAACAAAGCTTAACTTAAATGCTGGCTTATAAATAAGATGTTCCTTAGCACGGGAAGCATTCGGAAGATAACAAACAGTATTTAAATCAAACTTACTATGGGCTTTTATGGAACGGAGAGAAAAAGTTACAGATGTGATCCAAAAAAAATGACATGTTAAAATGGAACTTGGCAGGATCTTCTTCTTCTCTTCTTTGTCAACCATTTTCCATCCACTACTGAATGTAAGTCTCTCCCAATTGCTTCCATTTTTCTCTATCTTGTGTCTCCGTGTCCACCTGTTGTCATTATGTCGGGCTACGTGACCTGCCCAGCGCCATTTCATTTTTGTAATTTCTTCCACAATATCCCTAATCTCGTTCTACGTCTTATCTCGGTGTTTCCAATCTTATTTCTCAGTGATATTAAAAGTATGATTCGTTCCATTGCTCTTTGTGTTGTTTCTAATTTTTTAGCAAATT